CACTGGTTATAAGGATGCTTAATGATCTCAGTGAGAACTTCAACAAAGAGATTATAGAAAATAAATATAGAAAACATAAAATGAATATAGAAAACATAAAGAACCAGTCAGAAATTAAGAATACAGTAACTGAAATAAAGAATACATTAGAGTGAATCAACAGATTACATGAAGTAGAGAATCAAATCAGCGATTCAATTCCCTGTCAGAACCTATGGGAAAGCAATGTTGGTGATTAAGCCTAGGTGGACGGACCAATCAACTGATCTCTTTTTCTCTCAAGCACCAAGCCTATTGCTTACCTTCATTACTCATCCCCACTAGACTAGAATCTCTCTCAAGAAATTTGTCTTGCCTATCTAACCTAAAGATGAGGAATAGTAGCTAACACATAACAGATACTCAATAAATGTTTGCCGAATGAAAATCTATGGGGAAGCAAGGGAAACCATACAGTTCCAATACAGTACTGAAGACCCAATATCAGAGACACAAGTAGAAAAAACTCAAGTCAGGATTTACTCAAAAAATGTGACACATGCAATATTAAAGGAAGGAGTCTCACTTCCCACGTCACCTTTAGCTTCTTTACTCAAAATTCTACTAGACTTTTAGGCACTTAGAGAAAATAAACAAGACAATAAATTCATGTAGCTCACCTTGAGGGAGGAGGGGAAAACTTGAAAAAGATGATGAAAGAAATCACACATACATAGGCAGAATATATAACATTTCAGAAATACTTAGGAATATGAGAGGATTTAGAAGGAAAAGGAAATATGTAATCAGCTCCTGCTTCTGAAACTGGGCTGAGATAGCAGAGGCACAGCTTTGTTACCCTCAACAATGAGGAGTAATGTTAATACAAGTAATAAATGAGGTCATTCCTCATGAATTTGGGGCTAAGATAATTGGACCACCCAGCGGGTTATGACAACCCTCTTCCTGGAAGGAAGCATAGAGCTCAGAAGGTCCCATAACAAAAGCTGGACAAGAAAGACTTCGTGCACATCAGTCTCGAAGCACGAAGCACGGGTAGAATTTGGGGGAGGACTGGGGGAAAGGCTGGAGGGCAAGAGATAGTAAAGGAACACCTTCCATAGTTAGACATGTTATATCTTCTTAGAATCAGTGGCTTCACCTGAACAAGATGGGGGTTCAAGCTAGAATGGAAGCAATGACAAAGATATGGAAAGAAGTGGACAGATCTAAAAACTACTCAGAGGATAAAACCAACAGGACCTAACAGAGTGCATATGGAGGTGTGTGAGCAAGAAAAAAAAGTGTTTAGGATGGAAGACATTTGGGTTTCTAGCTTGCAGAACTGAATGGATGTTAGATTCTACTCTTAGTATAACCCAAAGAACCCTGCTAAACCCGTCTAAAAAGCTCTACATGACCTGTCCACTACCTACCCACCTCGCCAGCCTCACAGCGCCCACCTCGCCAGCCTCACTGCACCCACCTCACCAGCCTCACAGCGCCCACTCTCTTCCCCTCCCCCTGAGCCCCAGGCACAATGCCCTTCTTTTCTGCTCCTTCCCACCACAGGGCCTTCCGATGAACTTCCTCCTGACTGAACCACTCTTCCCATTTTCTTTCCCTACCAACCCCTACTCATCCTTGGGGGTCTCAGCTTAAACTCCAGTACCTCTAACCTAATTCTCCAGAGTAGGGTCAGAGGTCCCTGCTACACAATGCTCATAGTGTTTTATAACATTCTGTTCAACACCATCACATCTATAACCAACTGAAGCATCCAGTACTTGGCCCTCAGTATGAGTTCAGTAAATATTTATTTGTTCAATATACATTCACTCAGCAGGAAAAAATCGCAAAAACAGATACTCCCAGAAGGAAAAAGAAGCTAAAGATCACAGATCTAGTGAGCGACGGGGCCTGGAATGGAATCCATTCGTGTGTGACTACCAATAGCCTAGCAATAGAGAAACGAGGCCCATGTTACCCGAGTTCCTCCTCGTGGCTGAAAAGGGCGAAATACGTGAATTTCGTGCAGACCGATACCCGGATTCGCTTTCTGCACCCAGCTCTCCTTCCCTCCACCGGACCACGGCAGCTGCAGCCCCGTGAACCGGGCG